GGATATGGTGTCCAGACAGATACCGCAGGTCGGAATAGGTGCTACAATGGTCAGGACCGTCACAACCACCACCTAACCTCTATTCTTGCGTCTTGGGTCCGACGTTCGCCCAAATTGGGTTATCCCGGGGCGTTATTCGCGATCCAGAGTGCCGTGATGTAAATATTCGATCGTAGGCGAATCCTACGCTGATTTATGTTCATTCGCGTTTGATATCGGCGCTCTGAAAGGAGATTCGTCGAACGTAACTTGTTTATTGTTCCTCGCTGACTCACCGTTTGACGATTCGCACGCTTAGGCAAACGCGTACCTTGCAGAAGGCCCAGATTTCCTGGGAGGTCAGGTGCTCCTTACGTTCTCGTTTAATCGGACTTCGATTTTAGTTTAATTGTAACAATTGTTTATAAAAAATGCAACTTTATGAAATGTTCGAACCGTCCTTTTAGCCTTCGTGTTCAAGTTGTACAGCTTGAAACGATTCGGTACACCCAGTTCGAAGAAAAGTTTCATGAACGATTGACCCTTCATGTCCTTAAGATTATGTGAAAATGGTGATATAGAGGTCTCGTTCATGAAACTTCTCTGAACTGGGTGTACCGAATCGTATCAAACTTAACAACGTGAAGTGGAAGCTTTAGGGAAGGTCCTGACCCTCATGAAACTTCAATTTGTTAAACATTTGTTCATAGGTGTTGTTAACATTTTCGATAAAAAATGAAATTTCATGAGGGTCAGGACCTTTCTTATAGCCTCTCTATATACGCTGTGTATTTTGAAACGATTGCGTATATTCAGTTCAGAGAAAAGTTTCATGAACGATCGACCCTTCAAATGCCACTTTCACATCCCCTTAAGGGTCCAGGGAAAACAGGTCGGCCATATTGGATCGTGGCAATGGAACACGGAAATCACTCGAAATTACTGAAATACAATTATGGAGATCTCTCGATATTTTAAGGTGATATGAAATGGTCATTCTATACATGTACAACGTAAAAATATTTATCAAACTTTTCTCCAATCTGGGTGCATCGAACGATTTCAAATTTTAGCTCCTAAGGAAGAACGTGGAGCGCATGAAATTTGAATTTTGAACGAAAAATATGTATTCTTTGTTCCAGTCTGGAATAAAGAAAAAACTTTGTTCAAAAATGACTATGTGCCGAAGTTTCCAACGATTTGGTGCATTCAGTTTGGAGAAAAATTTGATAAATATTTTGACGTTTTATATGTACAGAATAACTCTCTCGTATCACCCCTTAAGGGTCCATGGAAAGCAGGTCGGCCATATTGGATCGTGGCAGCGGAGACGCGGAAATCATCTGTAACTCTCGGAACACAATTATGGAGAAAACCGATCTCTCGATACCTTGAGCATTAGTTGCTTTCTTCTCGACAAAAGATTCGGACATTCCTCGAGTCGACTCGTCGCCGGCGGCCATTTTCCTCGGCTATCCGAAGTAACTTTTGGTACCTCTCTCCCGACGTGGGCTTCGGTTACAAGGACACGAGAATCCGTTCCGGTGAGACAGAAATTTCCGGTGTCGTTTCTAGCGAATCTAGGGCGAATTGAATTCTCGGGCCCCCGGCTGTTCGGAATATCCCTTCGAGTTTTTTAATTAATGCTTCCGGGTCGGAGCCATTGACGTGACGTGAACGATTCGCTCCCACGCGAGGATGAACATTGCCGAGGAGGGATTCAATTAGGAAATGGATTTTAATGCTCGAAATCACGAAAACATTGCCGCGATCAAGAGACGAAGGAGACAATGGTCGGTTCCACAACATGGATTAATAAAATTCACCTAAGGTGAAGTGAAACAAGTCCAGGAACTTGGTCGACGTCGGTAAAAACGGTTTTTCTAAATACCTACGTTGTCGACGTTCGTATTTATATTGACAACTGTGTTGAATTATATAGAATATTGTACTAAATGGCATACTCCATCTGTCGTTTTCGTAGAATAATTATAAAGAAATCGAAGTAAACCTCCAGAAAGAGGTTCGTTCTATAGCATAGAAGCGCATAAGATACTTTTTTGCCTTTATCTCGTTCAAATGCGAGTTTCTCGATTACCAGAGTGTTCTAAATTGTCTCTTTCGTTTCTCATATCAGAGCCTTCAATAATGAGATATCGGTCGAAATATGAGAGCTCGACGCCATTTTGGTTCTGGTTTGGGCTAAATAAAAAAATTTCTTTGAAAAATCCAAATTTTGAAAGCGTCAGGATAATTCCTAGGTGCTCACAAGTCATGTGTCAATGTTTCATACGGCTCGATTCAATACCTTTAAAAAATAGTGTCTTATTCGAGTCGAGGGAGGTTTCGCTTCACCTTAACTGAAACCAGTTGCCACAATTTCGAAGAAACGTCGCATCCAATTTACTCGAGTTTCTTTAAATCGCATAATTGTTCTTTAAATAATGAAAATATCTCTTTTGGACTATTCGAATAAATATTTCTTCGGTTCAAGGAGATTCTTTTCTCGCCGTAGCCGGTCGTGGGGGCGCTGGCTTCGGATGTCAGTAGTCATGCAGAGACGAGCCTGTAACGCTACCCAAGTGTGGCAACGCGTGTCGGAGGACTCGATATTCGTGTTACGCCGCCGTCGGGACGCACGTAATGCGTCCGCGCGTCCCGACGCACTCCGCCGAGCGTCACGGCGTTGCGCCACCACGTGTCAACCTAACCTCTACTCTCGTCGTTCCGTTTCCATTGTCGCTCGAAATAGAGACTGCCGATCCTTCGGGAAGAATCGATTCTCGACTCGATTTACGGGCTTTCCCCCCGCCGAGTACCCCGAGAGAAACATCCATCAATTAACTGTTCTTTAACTAGTTTTCATCATTCGAAAAGGACTCGGACACTTTCTATAAGAAAATTCACTTTTTTTCTGTACTAGGAAATCCTAATGACGGTTACTATATTTTTCTTAACTTTTGGGAGCAAAAGGCCTTTACCAAACCCTTGAGTTATGTTTTTTTAGATCTTATATCTGCCTCACCTTACGTGCACGTCTGTCTTACCGTTTTTAAACGTAGTTACAAAATTCATTTTCATTTTTCGATTAAGATGCTACACAGTCTCTATACGCGACGATCCAAAATGACCGACTTCGTCTTTTCTGGATTCCCAAAATTTTCAAATTCAAAATTATCGTCCGCTAGTCTTTATCGCGTTAAAAACACCACATTCTGTACATCGTGTGCGGATTATCATTTCTCTTTGTGTACCTTAATTGCAAAATTAAAAGCATGTTAGGTAATGTACGTCGGCAACGTAGGAAATGTTTGGGGTTCTCTCATTTTCCGCAAGTGGCGCTCGTATCGTTAGATCAACGACCTAGCATAGAATAATTTCTAAATATTTCTTTGTAATCTTTGCTAAATATCTCAAGTAGAAAACCACGTATATTACATGACCTATTATACTTATAATTAGCCAACCCTGGTCTAGAGTTGAAAAGTTTTGGGTAAAATTAAGGTAAAGAACGTAACAAAGAAAGATAACGCGTTTTACCGATAGGGCGAGAATGTATAAAAAGTTGATGAGAACCCACCAAGCATGCTCGGTCGTAGTTACGTAACATTGAAATAATATACAATGAGAATTATTCAAAAGATACATCGATATTATGTAATATGAAATGATTACCCTTCCGTAACGTTATTATAAATCTATTGCGGTTATACATTATTAGCATAAGAAAATATGGTACCGATATTTTATGTGAATGTTACGTACATTATTCTTTTTATTATCGATACTTATTCTTGATTCATGATTCACTATCTCCGTTGAGCTGGAAATTTTTCTGTAGCAAAAAATCCCCCGTGTTCAAGGGGAACCGATTTTAGGAAGAATGTCTCGTAAATAGGAAAAAACGCGAGTCGCAAATCGGCGGCGTTTCCCAGGAGGCAACACCTGGCCTTTCACCTGCGGCGAGCGGAACACCCATTCGGGTCGTCGGGATATTTGATAACGTCGTAAACCGTTTGATGTCTGCATTTAATATCCCAACTGGTGTTACATCCAGCCCCGACCGCAGAAATTGCCGATGCATAAACTGCAATACCAATCTGGCCAATGGCGACGCTTAGCGCTGATCGCCGTCACATTACTTAACCGCCGCCGGTTAACTTCTCTCTCGAAATTTCCCCACGAGCGTATTCCTTAAGGTGACGCGAAAGTGTGATATATACATACCAAAAAGTGAAAATATTTATCAAGCTTTTCTCCAAACTGGATGCACCAAATTATCTGAAACTTTAACACGTGATTATGGAGGCGACAAGGAAAAACGCGCTGCCCGTGAAATTTCATTTTTCCAAAAGAAAATATCTTTTTTTGCTTCTTGTCCGAGATAAGTACATTTTTTTCGAAAAAATAAATTTCACGAGCAGCGCGTTATTCCTTAGGGCGTCCATAATCACGTGTTAAAGTTTCATTCGTACATTCAGATTTCGTACAATAATTATGAAGAAATCGAAGTAAAACTCTAGAAATGCCCTGGATTCATGGTTTCCGAGGCCCTACTTGACTGCAGAGGGACCCCCTGCGCCATCTGTGATTTCCAGGTCAACTAAATTTTCACTCCGAGACCTCATATTCCCATCGTTCTAACATAGCAATGCATAAGTCACTTTTTTTGCTTTTATCCCGTTCAAATGCGAGTTTCTCGATTACCAGAGTGTTCTAAATTGTCTCTTTCGTTTCTCATATCGGAGCCTTCAATAATTGGATATCGATCGAAACATGAGAGCCCGACGCCATTTTGGTTGTGGTCTGGGCTAAGTTAAAAAAATTGTTTAAAAAATCCAAATATTGAAAGTGTCAGGATAATTTCTAGGAGCTCACGAGTCATATGTCAAAATTTCATACGGTTCTAATACCGATAAAAAAAAATGTCTCTTTCGAATTGACTGACTTGAGAGGGGTTTCACTTCACCTTAATCGAGCAATGTCGATTCCCCGTGATGGAAAAAAGCATTATTTCTTACCGCCTGCGCCTCGGCCAGCTGTTGAATCAGGTCGAAGGCCGACCGATAGGTGGAGTCCAGGAGGGTCGCCAGGCCGCCGGCCAAAGATCGGGAGTTCCGCTCCCTGAAGCAGCGCAGCATCCTCTTCTCCACGTTTCTCAACTGGGTCGTCGTCAGGGCGATCTCGTTCTGCAAAGACGACGGCGATTAATCGGCCGCGATGCGTCTCTTGAGGTGGCCCCGCGAGATGCGATCTGCAATCCGTGCGGCTCAAAATCGCGTTCTTCTCTAGCGTTCACGCGTGGTCCATGCGCCGGTTAAACCGTTGCGATTAATTGGCTTACGCGGATTCATCGCAACGATTTATCGATACACGTTGGACACCTTAAGGTGTCACGAAAGAATCATTCTATATATATATCAAAACGTCAAAAAGTTTATAAAGCTTTTCTCCAAACTGGATGCACCGGATTATCTGAAACTTTAACGTGTGATCATGGAGGCTATAAACAAGAACGCGATGCTCGTGAAATTTCATTTTTCACGAAAAAAAATGTGATTTTGGTTCTAGTCTAGGTTAAGTAAAGAAATTTTTTTTGCGTTCTTCTTTAGGGCCTCAGTAATCACGGGTTAAAGTTTCAAATTATCCGGTGCACCCAGTTTGGAGAAAAGTTTTATAAATATTTTAACTTTTTGGTATATATGTGTCTTTCGTCCCACTTTAAAAAATTCTACTCGACTTCCGTCATCCATGAAAAATATCGTTACGAGAATCTTCAATTCTTAATTCTTTGACCAGAGCATTTTTAGAGCCCAATTTTAATGATCGTTTCCACTTTGGCGTCCATCTTCTTTTACCTTTGATTTTTTCATTATCAAATCTCCCGAGCTACTAATTTTTCCTCCGGAATAATGAAAAATTTAAGACAAAACTGATGAAATATAATATTAAAATACAAAAATTTGACATTCGGGCAGGCAAATAGCAGAGATTAACGGGGATATGTTTCACGCCATTGTCGAAAGGGAGGCACGGCTCGCTAGCGCCGTGGAACTGCTTTCAAAGGGACGAAACGTTCTCTATCGGTAAAGAAAACGCGTCTGCAGATTTCAAATACATCGCAGGATCGATAGAACGATGTTTATCGCCTTTTCGTTTTCAGTATAAGGGTCAGCGCAGGTTGGGAAATAAGACTACGAATACCAAAGAAAATTGTTACGCGCGGCACCCACGTATATCCTGTTTTACCGATCACGAAGATTTCGCCCCTTTGAAAGTAGTTGGAATTTTTCCAGAGGGGTAAACGGCGTAGAGGGCGCCTTTGAAACAAGGGCATGAAACGTCTCTGGTATATCATGGTATGGATATGGTGCGACGCCATACCGCGACGCGCTGAACTTCTCGGCGAGCCGCGAAATGGGCCTCGACCTGGGCCTGGACCACCTGCAGGTGCGTCCGGGCCACGCTGCTCGTCAGACTGCCGGGGAACCGCTCCAGGTACCGCGAGGTCAGCTGGTGCACCACCGAGGTCAGGGCCAGGGACTCGTTGGACTGCACCCGGTAGCGGTTGGTCTTCGACCCCAGCAGGATCGTCACCACCGAGCCGGCGTGCAGGTGCTGCAGCCCCAGGGCGCCCGAGTTCTGCCTGGCGCCGCGTTCCCCGGTGAACTCTGCGGAAAAAGGAGAATCGTCTCGGAATGGGCATTCCAGACGCGCCCGGGAAACATAACCTCCTAATCACGTTCTCCGGTGGACGAGAGGGAGAGAGAGAGAGAGAGCAGGAATGCAAAACGAAGGAGGGGACGTTGCCATCGGTTCTAGGTACCCGATGGCTGCTGGGGGCGCCACCTGCTCGACCGACGATGCTTTTGGCACCGCTAATTGGTGATACCTGCGCGACGACTGCTAACCTTGGCGCTTTTCGTCGGGACGATGCGCATGCGTCGTCGCAAGAGCGATCCGTACCCTGAGAAATATTTCTCTGAATTGTACCTCAGAAGTATTTCACGAGTTCAAGGAATAATTTCACTCGAATGAATTGTCATAATTCCAAAGAAATGTTGCATTCAATTCGTTCGAATTTCTTTTAGGCAAATAATTATTTCTTTCATGAATAAAATATTTATTTGGCACCATTCAAAGAAATGTTTCTTTGGTTCAATCATTTTTTCTCGGTGTAAAGATCCGATAAGGACGAGGTCTTTCTCTGGCTCTTGTCCGAGATAAATGAAAATTCTTTTTCGAAAAATGAAATTTCACGAGCTTTCTTCCTTAGAGTCTCCAGAATCTCGTGATGAAATTTTAAATGATTCGGTACACCCAATTTAATGAAAAGTTGTATAAATATTTTAACGTTTTGGTATGTATATACGACACTTTCATATCACCTTAAGTTCCTTTGTTAGGTTCGATTCGGGAATAAATGAAGTCGCGCGGTAGTTCAGCCAGTTTAGGTGGGGGGTACGCGAAAATGTTTGTCATACCAGGGAACAATTGTCCGAAGTTGAGAAGCGGCTCCTTGGACTTGAGTGTGACCGTGGAGGAGGCCGTGGTTTCCGGGATACAGGAGTTCAAGGTCAACTTCAAGGGCAGCTGCAGGGTCTTCTGGAGAACGCGGAGGCCACCGTCCTCGACCTCGTAGGTGACCGTGACCCTCGCCTCCGAGGTCACCGGATGTGCGTTGCCCTCCACGTGGATCGTCGTTTCCAGGACGAGCCTGTCACCTGGGGAACCACGCCGATGATGTTAAGGGGATGCGAAACTGGCATCTGAAGACTCAATCGTTTATGACATTTCTGCGAACTGGAGGTGCTTAATCGTTTCAAATTTCACGACGTGAATGTGGAGACTATAAGGAAGGTCTTGATCCTTGGAAAATTTCAATTTTACAACAAATTTTAAAAATATCGGCGGACAAATTAAAAAAAATAGGAATTTCATGAATTTCAGGACCTTCCTTGTACCCTTCATATTTATATTGTAAAGTTTGAATGGATGCAGTACATCCAGTTTAGAGAAAAGTTTCATGAACGAGGACTCTTTGACGCCACTCTCACATAACCTTAACGACGCTAGCGCCATTAACGACATTAATGGGTGTTAACCACGATTTTATAACCCTTCAAAAAAAGGGATGCAAAATCCGTATCGCAGTTTTAGGAATAATGATGGGCAAATGCTGTTGGTCTTGGTCTTCGTCTTGGTCTTGGTCTTGAGAATATACTCAAGTTTTGATTTTAATCTTGGTCTTGCAAAAATTACAAGACCAAGACCATCCCTATTTAGAAACGAGATACGGCCATAGAAACCGATCGCCCCCCTGGCGAAAATTTGGCGGAGTTTCCAGGCTCGAGTATACGAGCGTCGTTAACGACCCCCGACGTTAATGGCGACATTTACCTCGGTACTTACAGAGAGTGGGAATGGCGTGGCTGGCCTTGGAGGCGACCAGCGGTCTCGAGACGTCCACGTGGACCTGGACGTCTCTCAGGGGCGTGTACGAGGTCAGTTCCATGCTGACCCTGCACATGGACCGACCTTCGACCTCCTCGAAGAGGTCGGAGGGACAGGGCTCCAGTTCCGGAGACGCTTGAACCTTCAGGGACAGTTCCGATTCTGCGGCGGCTGCGGCTAAAGGCGACCCTAAATTGATAGAAAAATTACGGCATCGGTTCATTTGTCTCCCCTAAAATCGAAGAGAACCTTAGACGAAGCTGGTCAGTATATTCTAACATGAAATGTAATTATACGGATTAAGGGGATGTGAAAGTGGCGTCAAAAGAGTTTCGTTTATGAAACTTTTCTTCGAACTGCGTGTACCGAATCGTATCAAGCTTTACTATGTGTTTACAAATAGAGGTTAGGAGGAAGGTCCTGACCCCCATGAAATTTCAATTTTTTTTTAATTTCTTTATAGATGTTTTTAAAATTTTTCATAAAAAGTTAAATTTTATGAGATTCAGGACTCACATTAGCCCTTCATGTTCACGTTATAATGTTTGAAACGATTTGGTACTTCCAATTCGTAAAAAAGTTTCATGAACAATTCATCCCTCAAATGCCACTTTCACCTCACCTTAATAGAGCTTAAAGTTTGAAAAACACATTTACTATTTTTCTTTCCAACAAATTGACGCGAGTTTTAGATCGTAATGACTGCGTTGTTTATAATGCGTAACGTAATTATATCGTTTCATTTTCAGAAGTAATAAAGCTCTAAACGTCTTTGTATTGTTTAATGATACTTATGTATATTTAATTTTTATCTTTATATTACTTAATTATATCAAAATGTGTGAAAATTGAATCGTACAAATGATGTAATTAATGAAAAATGAAGTACCGACCCGAGGACGCGGATTCCCTGAGAATCTTCCGAAGGGAGAAGAGCTCTTCTTCGACGGCTCCTTGTTCAAAAGTCCTTCTGTGAATCGGCGGAGCAACAAATAAGGATGGCTCGGATCCTAAATAACAAACTTCGAGGATTCCATCTTCGGAGAGAACCACGATGGCACCTTCCAAATTCTGAAAAAATAGAAGTATGAAATCTTTTGAGTAACGTAAGATTGCGAAAACTAAAGGAGTCAATGCGATGAACATTGTGGAAATTAAAAATTTGCAGACAAACATAAAAAAGAGTGCTAGTCAAAAAATTGTCAAACAACAAATGGAAATTCGTAGAATTCTAGAAAATCGTGACATTTAAAAATAAATAAACCGAAATGAAATGTGCAATATCGATATTATAGTGAAATAAAAAGTAACAAATAGCATCATAGTTTACGACCCTTAAAAGAAATCTCAAATAATGAAAACAATTACAGTAAAATTGGAAAAACCTCATTGTCGTTAACGTCGCCATAAAAACACGAGTCGTGCGCATTGTATCAATTACGGAACATTTTTTACGCTTTTGAACGATAAGCGTGACTCACTTTCGCATAAATCAGGGAAACAAGAAGGCAGAAAATAGTAAAAATCGAACGCGATTAGTCGAGAGAAAAAGTCGATTCCATGCGTCATAAAACTTTATCGTAAAATACGTGCATTTCGTTAAGTAAAAAATAATTGCCTCCTTATTCTTATGTCTTTCAGTGATAACGATAATTGCTGCAAACGAGGAATCGAAATCCCTTCTTGTAAAAAATGGAAATTAAAGATGGCGTCCGCCAGAGATTAACTTTTAATGGGAATGAAGGCAATTTAGTTGCGTATAAAATTACAACTTGATTGAGATACGAAGATTAATTGTAAAAGGATAATATTGACGCAAGAAACGACCTCGGCTGTTTCGTTCTTAATTGCTGAAACTATTATTTTTGCAATGTCGTATAATAGTTCTACAGAAAACTACTTTTATTACAATACTGTATAACAAATAATATAAAATTGTGTATGAATGAAAAAGAAACTATAACGATATGATGCGCAAAAATTAATACATTTTTGATGGGATGGAGGAGTTAAAAGGAGTTAAACTATTCCACGTTAACTATACTTTCCTAGGAAGAATAACAAAACTTTTTACTATTTATATAGCAAAATTTCACTTAATTATCGTTAACGTAGCTGATATATCGATGTATATTTTATATGCCCAGATAGTATTAATAACCGTTGCAAATAGTTTCGGTGGTCATAAAATCTTTTTCCGAAAATAATTTTTTTTGTAATTATTGACGTTCATTGAACTCATGATGCTTGACTTGTTAACATTCTTGCGTATCTTAGGGTCAATCAGGGATGGAGGAATATTTTATATGCAAACGAGCGATCCGAATCATTTGCGAGAAAGCTTCGCCATCTATCGGCGCCGTCGAAACTAACTCGAAGAAAGTTTTTGGTAACGTTAGGTACAAATTGGAAGTTGATTTAACCAAACCGCAATGATAAACGGATGTACCAGTAATATCGTTGCAGTTACTAAAAGTAGAGTAAATAACAATAGCTTGCAACGAGAGTGGACAATATTTAAAAGGTAACCTAACTCTTCCAAAATGGTAAATACCTTTACTATAAATATTTACTACAAAATTCCTACAAAAGCCAAGAGGATGCTCGTGTATTAAAAAATAGTTCCAGATATTCATTTATGGCAAATTAAACGATAAATTGCGTTTCTTTAACAAAAATGGCTTTAAGGGGGTCCAGCTCCTTTTCTCTCAGTACAGGTGTTTCGCGCCGTCATTTTGCGGTTCAGGGAAAAAATCGCTTTATAAAAGGAAAAAGCTAGGCTTTCGTTAGCACTCGGCGTCCTCCGCAAAGGCAACAAAGGCAACCTTGTTCGTAGCTCATCGGTGACTCCTCATCGGAGGCATTGATAAGATAACCGACGTGATAATGGACACCTCGGCCTTCCATTCTGACTCGCCTCTCGTGCTTCTGAATTTTATTCCTCTTTTCTCCCCCTTTCTCCCTTTCTCTCTTCCATTAAAGTTTTTCCCAGATAAAAGGAAATGGAAACGGAAGTACAATTACATCCAATATTTTCGTTTCCTTGGCCTTGCGAAGGGAAGGAAACGTAAAAGGAAGGAAGTCTGCAAATATAAAAAGAGGAAATTAAAGAAGAGGGGAAGTATAAAAATGTACAAGGAGGAAATGAAAAATAATTGGATATGTGAAAATGTAAAAAGAGAAAGATGTAGAGGGAAGAAAATGTAAAAATATGTACAAAGACGAAGATGAATCAAGGAAAGAAGCGAACGGAGATTTAACTCGTTTTTTAAGGGGTTATATGCAGTTGTCATAGACGAAAATCAAGAATTTTCTTTCAAGTACTAACATGCATTTTATAATCGAAAACAGATCGTGATTTCATAGTACAATTATTGAACTTAATATATCATTCTTTTTGTCAAGATATATTTAAAAATTGGCGAGGTACGGCAATTCTCTGAAAAAGTTTTCTTTTTTGCGGTGACCACGATATCTCAAAAAGCATTTCACCGATCGGCTTTACATTTTTGGGGCTCATTCTACACATGCAGGATTGTTAAATGAACGAAGGATTATTTTTTTCTATAAAAACTTGCCGTTTTATTAAGGAAAATCGAAAATGTTATAAGACGAAAATAGTAATTTTCCAGCAAAATTCCTACCATTTTATTAAAAAGCGGAATTTCGAAAAATCCTTCATTAATTCAGCAGTCCTCCATGTATAGAATAAGCCTTAAAAATGTCAAGCCGATCAGTGAAATACTTTTTGAGATGTCGGGGTCACCGCAAAAAAGAAGAACTTTTTCAGACAATTGCTGTACCTCGCCAATTTTTTAATATATCTTGACAAAATAAATTATATATTAAGTTCAAGAATTGTACTGGGAAATCACGTCCTGTTTTCGATTAAAAAATGCATGTTAGTTATGGAAAAAAAAATTCTTACATTTCGTCTATGACATCTACATATAACCCTTTAACGTTGCGGAAATAATAAGAAATTAGGAAAGGAAGGATGGAAGAGGTTACGACTAAATTCCTTCCAACTATTTACAGGCGTCACAAATAGCACCGGAATAAAAAATAGCACCAGGAAAATCGAGGGAGAGAAGACGAGAAAACGAGAAAGATCGAGGAACAGGTGCTTTCTGACTTTTCAAACATTCCTACATTCAAAACCGTAAGGGTAAGAGGAAAAACACATAAACGAAGAATCACGTTTGAGGACATCTCAATAAATCTGCCGCTTGAGATATTTAGCAAAGATTAGAAGAAAAGATATTTGGAAATTGTTCCTCGCTCCTAGGATAGTCGCAATAAAATGTCGGAATAGGAAAACGAGAATGAAAAGGATGCCTAGATTTTTCGTTAGACTCGTTTCCTCTTCCTCGTCGGGGCGAAGATACCGAGGAAACGGAGAAAGAGAGGTGGAACTAGGAAAGAGAGAAACACACGAACTTCCAGTGACCGTAAATAGCTGGAAGAGAAGCGTTTGGCCGAGAGCGATAGGGAGCGCCACCCGCGGAAGAGGAACACCGATAGGGAGAAGGTCTCGATTTCTTTGTCAAAGGTCATCGAGCCGATTGTCCGGTATCTGACTCGTTAACGATACGCGCCGTCGCTCTAGGAATTTTCCCTTTTCTCGGGCCACCCGCGCTCGAAGCGTTAAGGTGAAGTGAAACACGTCGAGGAACTTGATCAACGTCGATAAAGAAGATTTTTCTAAATGCCTACGTGCCGACGTTCGTTTTTATATTGACAGCTGTGTCGAATTACATTGAATATTGTACTAAATGGCATACTACACCTGTCGTTTTCGTATAATAAATATCAAGAAATCGAAGTAAAACTCCAGAAATCCTCTGGATTCAAGCTTTCTGGGGCCCTAATTGACTGCAGAGGGACACCATGCGCCATCTGTGATTTCCAGGTCAATTAAATTTTCACTCCGAGACCCCGTATTCCCATCGTTTCAGCATAGAAGCGCATGCAACACTTTTTTTGCCCTTATCCTGTTCAAATGCGAGTTTATCGATTACCAGAGTGTTCTAAATTGTCGTAAAATTGTCTTGACCCTTTCGATTCTCATATCAGAACCTTCGATAATTGTATACTGATCGAAATATGAGAGCTCGACGCCATTTTGGTTCTGGTCTGGGTTGAGTTAAAAAATTTTGTTAAAAAATCCAAATTTTGTTTTTCAATGTAATAATTCGACGTTATACGATAGTAATGTACTTTTTGAACAATATTCGTTATATATCATATTGTTCCAGAGTTATGTAACTGTAAAATAGTGTCTTTGGTGAGGGGTTTCTATTACGATCCGTATCGATATTTTCTGGATATCGGAACATCCCTACTTTGAGGTTACAGAAGAGCATTCAGACGATGACTCGGATTCCTCCTGCACCGATAAAGACGATGACCGAATCGGTCATAATTCCTCGGCTTGGAAACTAGTAGTTCCTGAAACCGCAATTGCGGCTAATCCGGCTAATCCGGCTAACGAGTATCTGGCGATTCATCCATAAATGCATGACGGACACAACAACGTTATTCATCATCGAATCGCTCGGTGGATCCGAGTGCAAGGTGCATTCCGGAGATGTCACGGCTTCTTCCTGGCGCCAGGAGAACTGGTGGCGAGGGAATTAATTGTACCTCCTTCATAGGAAACCGCGATTGCAAATCATCTCCCGGATGGGTACAGTGGCCGACATGAACGCGTTTCTCGAGATTCTTGGTCCGTGACGAGAAGGCGTAGGTATTTATAAGATTCTTCTTTACCGACGTCGATCAAATTTTTCGACGTTTCACTTCACCTTAAGGTGAAGAACCTAGAGATTATCCTGACACTTTCGAAATTTCGATTCTTTTAAACAAATTTTTTAACAGGCCAGACCAGAACCTAAATGGCGTCGAGCTCTCATATTTCGATCGACATTCAATTATTGAAGGCTCTAATAGTTTATGACAATGTTAATTCTCAGATATATATATAGGTCGACTCTTGGCATCTCGGTGAAGATTCCGCGAGATTTATGACGTTTTTCAGAAACGAACGAATTGCGATTCACTATTAATTTCTTATATAATTTTACTTTTCTTAAAAATGTCTTTGAAGTAAAGTACTGTGTAGAGTTTAACAATTTCTCATTAAGTGGATGTGCAAGTGGCATCTGAGGTATTACTCATTTATGAAATTTTTCTCTGAACTGGGTGTACCGAATGGTTTCAAACTTTATACCCCGAGGCTTTAAAGAAGGTCCTGACACTTATGAAATTTAATTTCTTAGAAAAAATATTTAAAATATCTATAAAGAAATTTTGAAAAAATTGAAATAGCTATATGTTTCAGTGAATTCCATTTACTGGGATTTACTTGGATTTACTTGAAAGTGCGCTCTAGTGATGGCCACGGCTGGGAAGGTCAGTTGGGCGGACCACCTTAAGGTGGTGCCTTCGTAGACCATAAGGGTGCCGGTATCCGCCACTACCATCACCATCAGCTTCCCGTCGGGCTCTGGAAGAGAGATCGAGGAGTTACGACGATTTAGAAGAACAGCCGAGGGGGTATTCACTCAGAAAATCGTCGATTATCATTTCTTTCGATTTCGATTGTCGTTTATCATATGATATCAAAGGCCTTCGGCCCTCAAAGGAGGAAATCGTGGATTTTAATGCTTGAAATCTCGCGGAAATCAGCTGGAAATCGTTGGAAATCACCGAAACACTCAGGATTTTAAGTTCGAACGTCCCCTTGTTACCGAATCTCATTGTTGTTCATCGTATGAAATCAAAAGGAGGAAATGACGGATTGTAATGCTTGAAATCTTTGGCAATCACCGAAACGCTGTCACAATTTTAAGTTCGAACCTCCCTTGTTCCCGAACCTCACCGTTGTTCATCGTATGAAACGAAAGGAAACCGGTCCTCAAAGAAGGATCTCGTTTTCCCTGATTTCCAAGTGAACCCCTCGAGGATAGAAGATCCGGAAGGACGGCCAATACAAAACGGAGATTCCATTTACCTATCACGTAAGCGTGAAAGCACAGCGCGTCGTACTCCAGCCTCTTGGTGTACTTCAGGGTGCAAGTGTCGCGCAGGCAGAAGAGGTTCCTCTCGCCGAGGACGAGGATTCCGACCTCGAAGCTGCTGAGCGTGACCACGTTTATGTCCAGGATGGCCTCCCCGAGGTTGTACGACCAGTCCGGCCCCAGGACTCTGCTGGATCCTTTGTCCAGCTTGCTCTGGCTCCGCCCGAATTCCGCGATGTTCTGGTACCTGAAAGAATTTCGAGTTGAACGCTCCTCTGCCTTTCTATATTGTGTATACACAAAACTAAATGTTTCGACCGATCGTCAACGACCAGCCCAGGCCGCTAAGCACAAAACAAAATATTTACGCCCTGAGAGGAAACGTCGAAAGGCGAAATTCAAGAATTTCTTTTCATAACTAAAATGCATTTTTTAATCGAAAACAGAGGGTGATTTCATAACGCAATTATTGAATTTAATACATGAATGCCGCGCCGAAAGGGTGCACATTGCGCTTCTGCAGTCTTCGATGTTCGAACTTACGTCTTCCACCTGAACAATGTCCCCTTAGCTGCCTTTTGTATACACACTTTTCTAAGCGTTAAATAACAACGGTTTTGTCGTATTATTCCATTATTAAATTTCCAAATAAAAGTCTAACTTTAAACTTTGAAGAAATTGAAAGTTATCTCAATAGCTGGTCTTCTCGTCTCGTCTCGATGACCAAACCGTGTTACGTATGTTCAAAATGTACTTATAGGATGATTAACCCAATACGGGTCAACACAATCGAAACATAGTACGCAAAGGGTTAAAAGTGAATGCTCCCTTGGAAAAAAAGTCCAGATGAAAAAACGGGATACAATGGACCCGGAACGACACGGTGCCTGTAGCACTCCAGCATCCAGGAGGAGTTGGTGGTGACGAAGACGTCCTTCCTGGCGACGTAGACGACCGGGCTGGGCAGCAGTCGGTTCTCCAGGCTCTGCTGGAAGGCGAAAGTCTCCTGCTCGAAGAAGAGCAGAATTCCGTCGAGGCATTGCACGCACAAGAAGTCGCGGCCGCGGACGCCGCCGAACGGCCCCGTGGTCAAGGACAAGGGAAACCGCGGCAACGCGTGTTCGTATGTCACACTCAGGACGCATCTGTCGCCTGAAACAAGAGGAAAAGCGTGGGTTTCCGGAAGAGGGCCGACGACGACTGGCCGAGCTCCAAAATCCGGACAAAGACCTCCGGTTTCTAACGCACGAGGCTTTGTTCCGTTTCAATCCGCCCGGATAGAAATTCATGATCATCGTATGTAAATTTACATACCCACTCATTGGTTATTTCGATGCCACGATAAATTGCAGTCAAATTAGATTGCCTCCGTAACGTCGCATTCAGCATCCGAGTTAAATTAAAGGAAATGATTACGTAATGTTACGCTAAATTCAAGTCAAAATGCCCCAATACGGTAAACGTGCAATCTTAGATGTATTTATTTATTCTCTACTTTCTAATCTTTATATTTTACGTTTTTCTGGGTGAAACTTAAGTTATGGAGTGTGTAAAAAGGTATGTAAATTTCCATTGATTTTTATCAGTGTACCCCAATACGAAGTCCGCGGAGGAAACACTTACGTTTACCTTTGTACGCGTAAAAGAGCAAAATAGCAAAAACGTAGAAGCGCAGATATGCACCATGGGGGATAAAAAATCAGATGAAAAAAAATTAAAAATGAAATACACACCGTGCTCGATGGAGTCCTGGTTGAAGGTACAAGTGTAAACCGTCAGCGCCTTCGGAGTCAAAATGGCCAGTCGAATCTCCTGAGAACCTCTGAAAATGCAAAAGAAGACGTAAATCTACATAAATTTCTTACCACAAGAGTCCAACTAATCCCTAGAAACAGATATGTTTAAAATTAAAAACTCATCTAAAAAATTTGCAAACAATACGTACTAAATAACATTCGAATATCTTTAAAATAAAATTTTTAATTTTTCTCCGCTATTTCACAAACACGTTGTTATAAAATTGTAAATTGTTCTTAGAATTTTATAATAAATGTACACTAATTCACTATTAAGGCATCGAATTTATAATTTCACTGCAACCTTATGTACTGAAAGTGTATGTATTTAATGAATTTTGTTAACAGCGTACGCTTCCCTGAAAAAAGTGTCTAAATTCCTGAACGGGGTCCACTAATTTCGTGAAACGAAATATTCACGGGACTGCGACGAAGGTTCCGCCTTAACTTCTTCCCCAAAGTCTATCTTGACAGGATCTCACTTTTCCGTCAATCTCCGAGATTTTGCGCGAGCCGACAGATAAGACTTTACGACACGACTCCATTTCAGGCCCCATGAGACTTTATGGCACCCCGCGAGTCGGGGCGTCGGTAATTTAGGCTCCTTCCTTCACCCCCGGAACCATAACCTCATTGTCGGCGGATTCCGGCACTTTCACGGAAACCCATTAGGCCGGAGTTCCACCTTCCCCGAAAGATGCAGCTTTCGTAAAGTTCTTTTGTCTTATGCAATTTGAAACGCGGCAAAGTGCCGATTAGGTGAAAAGTGCCGAGGTTCGAACCCTCTTTAAGGTGATACGAAAGTGACGTCCGGGAGGTCTCGTTTATGATACTTTTCTCGGAACTAGATCTAACGAATCGTTTCAAACTTTACAGCGTGAATTTGGAGGTTATAAGGAAGGTCCTGACCCCCGTGAAATTTATATTTTTTGCAACATTTCTTTAGAGATATTTTAACACTTCTTTTATAAAGAATGAAATTTCATGGGTGTCAGGACTTTCCTTACAACCTCCTTATCCACGTTGTGAAGTTTAAAACGATTCGGTACTACGGAATTAGGAGAACAACTTCATGAACGATTGACCACTTGGATGTCACTTTCACATCCCCTTAAGGTACGTCAAGCGAAACGATAATCCGTGCATTATATACAGAACGTGATATTTTTAACCATGGAAGTGTATAAGGAGACATAACGCCAATGGTCGGTTCCATAAAAAGTGGAACCACCCCAGAATCGGGACCCACGCTCTCAGATTCTCGCTGATCCAACGACGCGAGCGCTACTTGCGGAAAATGAGGGAACTCCAATCCTACATGACCAAAACCTTTCCTACCGACGTAAATCACCTAAAATGCTTTAATTTTGCAATTAAGGTACGCAAAGCGAAACAGTAATCCGCGCATGGTATACAGAACGTGATATTTTTAATACGATAACGGCTAGCGGACGATAATTTTTAATTGCAAAATTTCATTGAGAGGCGATCTCGGCCCTAGATCGGAAAAAATCTATAGATCTTGGCCCCCTAAAGTGGGAACGATTTCTACACACGGGCCCTTACTCATATCTCACATTTGGCAGGCAAAGTCAACTTTAGCAAAGAACGACAAATTCGACTTCAAAAGTCCCTGGTGATTATTTGATACCCTGTATTCCCTTCGCGAGCTTTTACTCCGTGAAAAACGTCGTCGATGCATTCCATTTTTCATGTACGATTGTGACAACTAAAAGCTGTCAAAATTCGATGTATGATTTTGACAGCTAAAAGAGATTTAAAAGACCCCCTACCCACTTTTAGGGAATCGTCGCTCCCTTTTTTCCTAAAAGCGCTGAAAAAGAAGCTTAAAAGGGGGTATGAGGAGGATTGCTGATAAAATACTTTTTTTACGGCTTCTTTTAAGAATTTTCTATAAAAGTGGTTTAAAAGCAAGACACGAGTAGGGTCGCTTTTAACAGTGCGCTAAGATACGTCTTTTAACGCTAAAAGTGAGATATGAGTGAGGAGAAAGAGGCGTTGTATCTTCTTATACTATCTCGCGGTCGTAATTACTTACGAGGCAAACCTCCCTGACTTCAGATCGACAACGCACTCTGCAACTTTCGTCTCAAGGAGAAGATCCGTGGACTTGAAGCCCGTCGGGTTTTTCGTCTCTTCGAGCCAAGTCGAGGTCGGCATGAACACCCTGAGATATCCATCATGGCTGCCGACGACCACCGCGTCCTTCTTCTCATCTCCGAAGAGCGGACAGACCAACAAACTCTGTTTGTCGAAGCTCCCGTTCGAGCCGCACTCGGTCCTCCACCACTCTTTCGACTTGAACAACGACATTGTTAGTTAACAATTACGCGGCACGAGTCGCGTAAATTGCAAGGTAACCGGAGTACCAAAACCAAGATGGCCGCGGATCGTTCGCTCTAAACTGAACTCATCCTGGATCGCACAGGCTGTTTGTGTCAATGTTTTTCTTTCAGTACATGTCCGTACAGTAGAAATCTAGGCGCAAACAAAACTTTACGGGGAACTGTGCGAGAAAAGAACACAAAACTCTTTTTTTTTTTTCGATGGGAGGAATGGCGGATCGTGCGCGTTTATTTGGGAGCATTGTTCCGTGGGGGTTCGTTGGCGTTGCTATGGAAATGCGTCGTCAAAACAATGCTTATGTTCCGATACGCGGGTTATGTCTAGAGCAGAGTTGCGTAATTCCCCATTTTTCGAGGTTTTTCATGTATATTACGTAACAAAGTAGTTTACCGGAAAAAATGATAAAAAACCAGTAAATTACGTTTCCAATATGAAGAATGCCGCAGATGGACGATACGGCTTCTGCTAGGTTATAAACGTCTTTTAGCGCATATGTAAACACGGAAATATTTTAAAGAACAGTGAATTAATTTGGCGCTTGTATTTAAAATTGTTTAGAATTTTACGTTTTCAATATGGCGGATTCCACAGATGCATGATATATGTATTCGCGAGGTTATCGTCTTTTAGCACACATATAAACACGTAAAAATTGTTAAGAAATAATTAATTTTGAGTTTATGTTTAAATTCTTTCGACTTAACTCTGTTTAATATCAAATTTCTAATTGGATTTGTTATTTTTTATTTAAAAAGAGAAAAGCGTAATGTACTTTCATATCTCAAAATATAAATATTCATATATTTTTGTAAATTCTCAAAAAGAAATGACTGCCACATTTAGAACTTTAACCATGAATAAAGCAAAGTGCACCGTAAGATTCAGAGATAGAAAGAAGACTATAGTTGCGCCATCTCTCGGCGAATGTACCAACTATCGAGCATCAACCATCTGTGACTTCTACCAGTGTTGCCAATTTAGCGTATTTTTCGCTAAATCTGGCTTTTTTAAAACCTGTTCAGGGAAACGAAATTGCAATTTAACGGCTATAGGGGATTCTAGCTATTTCAAACAAATCTAGGAGAAAAACTGGCTTTTCCACGCCTACATTGCCGCATTCTAATGCTGACACTGAACACTTATTTTGCCAAATGAACGTGATAAAAACAAAATTACGTAATTGAGTGAAATAAAAAATGTTTAACGCCCTTCTTGTCATACGTTTTCATTTGAACAGGGTAAATAAATGTTGTTACTACTTTGACGTAACCGAAGATATATTAAATAGCATAAAGACAAATGAAACATCTATCTATAATGGCAGTAATGTCGAAAATGAAGAGATTATGTGTACAGATTTCAGTTTTTAATTTTATGTGTCTTCTGTGTCATTTTCATGGGAGGGTAATGCTGTTTATTTTTTTTTATTATTTTTTCAATGTTCCTTGTTGAATGTTATTTAGAGTTTATTACACGAAGTAAAATAATATATAAAAACACCTTAGTTGTTCATTTTTTACTTTCCATGTAGTAATTTAGTGATTTTTTCAAATCCAGCAGTTTTCTGGCGGTATTTAACGAGCCATCTAGCGAGTTCTCTACTTCATGCATTGGTGACACTGTTGGCGTATGCTACGACTCGCTACGGCCAGCTACGACTGTTGTTCGATAGATCGAGTCGATGAGGTTAGTTTGAAGGTTCCTCGTTTATTCTAAAATATCCTTTCGGAGATTTTGAATTCTTCAACTCGCGGTAAATGGAGCCTCCAGATATTTACTACAATAAAGCGGAGTACGTGGAGACGGTGAGGGAATTATTTATTGAGAAGGTATTGATTCAAAGAACCAGAAACATAACCTCGATCTTGATGTTTCAGGCGTCGGGGAATAAAGTCAGCAGGCAGACTGTTCTATGTGGCTCGCAGAATATCGTTTTGCATGGAAAAGTCATCGTTCAGTCCGATGCCATAATTCGAGGGGACCTCGCCAGTGTCAGGACTGGGAGATATTGCATTATTAGCAAGAATGTTGTTATCCGACCGCCTTTTAAGAAATTCAGCAAGGGGTAAATATATTCAATGGACATAGGATATGTATCGGTTTGCAAACCCAGATATTTCCTTGATATTCTTGCAAAGACAACAGACAGAAGGATTATCCTTTCTCACTGTATTTCTCGCTTTATCCTGTTAAATAGGCTATCATAATTTGTTCCGTAAGGGTTTCACATTAAGAGAAAGAGTGAAAAAACAGACTATTTCTTCTCTTTCAAATCTGTTTTGTTTATAACCAGATATGCATACGATCTAACTATGATTACTGGTGTAATGATTAAATTTTGTTAATATCATCCGATTTAGTTTTTATATCTGAATTAAATTAGATGGCCATTAAGCAAAGGAGGTACTTTAAGTAATTTAAATTTCTTAAATATATCGTAATTGTTTTCAGGATTGCTTTCTTCCCTCTCCAGATGGGAGACCACGTCTTCGTGGGGGAACGTGCCGTTGTCAACGCAGCTGTAGTTGGCTCTTACGTATATATAGGAAAAAATGCAGTAATTGTGAGTACTTATTTATATTTTTGACAGAGTAGTACAGGTTGTTTTTTTATGCATCGATAACTGTTTTAGGGAAGGAGATGCATTCTGAAAGATTGTAGCTACATAGAGGATGGTGCCGTGGTGCCTCCGGAGACTGTGATACCTTCCTTCACTCGTTTTTCTGGAAATCCTGCCGTGTGTGTAGAAGATCTGCCTGAGTGTACTCAAGACCTCATGTTGGATTTTACTAAGGATTATTACCAGCATTTCCTGCCAGCAAAGATCTAACTACCTTCAGAAAAGGTAAAAATAGTATCTAATTTAAATAAACTGAGAAGAGTGGTCGAAGGGTGGATTTTGCATTTCTTTCATTACGTGCTCTGCAGTTCGATGCATTAAAAATCTTTTAAAGCGTTGTTCCATTTTCTGCTGGTTCTCTCGATAAGATTTTGTCTAGAAAGATACAACAATTAATGGTCTCTATTGGTAAAAGGTGATTTATGTTTATTATTTATGTATTGGGTCGTAACATAGGTTAGAATTAGAATTTGTTAACACTTGTAACCAAACATGTTTATGTTGCGACCCAATAATACCTTCAATAACTGTGTGGATCCATTTGTTTTATTTTAATGAGCAATAAATTAACATTGTAGTTAATGCTAATGAACATGACTAATTCTGATAATGTTATTATGTTAAATAATTTTTCGTATAAGGAAACGTCTACATTTATAACTTTAAGAGATGATTAAAGACTTTATAAAGTAACGTTACTGATATTGCATTAGTAAAAGAAATGATTTAAAACTGTACATTTTGACCATAGCTTCATTAAAAAATTGTATGTAATTAATCGGCATATAACAAAAATATTTACGGATGTTTTTACTTATTCTGAGAAAAAAACATGTTTTGTGATATAGTTTTTAACTATTTAAATGTTTTCGTTACAAAATTTATTATGAAAATCACAGAAGCTTTTGTTCTTCTTTTTTACCTAATGTTTATAAATTTAATATTCTTATACTTTGATCTAATTTTTTTTTACGATTTTCCCGAGTTAGTATAATGTTTTGAATGTTCCTTAAACCATCTTTGAAGTAACTTAAAAAACAATCAGAAATAAAGATATCGGCAAACTAATAAATAGGAAACAAACTTCATAATGTCAAATTCTTCCATTATGACCCATGATCAACAATGAAAACATTAAGAAATTGCTTTGAAGTACCTTTTCTGCCACAATATTTCCAAAATCAAGATGGCAACAGATAGCAAGAGACCAGCACTGAGAGCAACGAAGGCCCCATAACTTTCAATTAAGCTGACACTTAGAAAACTCATGTTATCGTGGCATTCGGGTCTCTTCGTGTACAGCCTGGACATCTCACGCTGCTGGAGGCCATTCTCGCGGACTTTGAAGGCCCTGCAACACGACAAATCCATTATTCAGATTGCTGAAGAACTGCTGCAATGCATTTAAAACAAATAACATCCTGCGCACTGGATTTTTATGATCTCCAGGTACGGAGATTGATACTGGACGGCCAGTAAAGGATAGATGACATTCATGTAGTCCATTTCCTGGAAGCCGCACTTCTCGTCCTCCTGGAACGTGTCCTGCACCACCATGTAGCCAGGGCCGAACTCTATGTGGAAGGCAAAGAGTCCTTGCCTGATTCGGTTAATGCCCTCCTCCATTGTCAGCCAAGATGACTTTCGACCCTTTGGCGCGATTTTCTCCTCGTAAATGGCTTTCCTCACAGGATCCTGGAAAGTCTACGGAAGAGGACGACGAGTTTGACAGTTGTAGGTTAGGATTGAATCGGTGTTATCATTTAAGAGCTGTGATCCACGTTTTCTGGAACACCATCGAAGAAGTCAAATAGAAGTATGATTATTTATTAAAATAGTGATATGATAGTGAGAATTACATAGTCCTAATTAAAAGATCATTTTTTTACTCATTTTCAGTATACTCTAAGGTCTCCAGTCATAACTTTTTTAATAACTTTCTTGACTTATAGAATTATTTTCCTTTCAAGAGCCTAGATTTTTACTCCCAGAAATGTATACAGTATTGTATAAATTATATTTTGAATTATTTGGATAAACTTATGGTTAATATACTAGTTTAAAAACTTGTGACATTGAAATCGTTACTTTAAGCATTCTTTAAGATTTTTCCTGTAGTTAATTTGCCTCTAAAGATTTTAAACCCACAAACACTTTTTCTTGCAAGGGTGGAGAACCTTTTATATTCTTATACTTTAGCGAGTTGAGAAGTACCTTGAAGTAATGTCGATTGTACACCGTGTCATGAGCTCCCAATTTCAACGGACTGTCCAAGAGGTCCTTCAATGTGATTATGGAGTCCGTAGTGGACTGCAGGATCGCGACGATTTTTGCCGTGTAGGAAGTGTACAGGCTCAGAACAGCTATGAGAAGCATCAGAAGAATGATTCGTGCCGACAGAATCCTGGGCTCGTACCAACAGCCCTGCTGAGAAACTACTCCGACAATGATGAGCAAATTGTCACTCCAGGACGATGGGAAGAGACCGCCAAACCTATATGACTCGTTCACTTCCTCTGAAAAGGTCTGCTTCCATTCCCATCGTAGAGCCACATAGAGCGCTCCGAAGACTAGTATCAGGAATCCTGTGATGGCCATCCACACCGATCGATGGAAGGGTAGAGTGAAGATGTTGCTCACAAAGGACAGTGGTGGTCGACGGAATATGAATCCTGTACTACGATGCAGTATGTGAATTAGTGCAGTACGTGTTTTAGGAACTCAGAAGGTAAATATAAAAGTGCATGAAGAATTACGATCGCCTACCGGCTCGAAGTGTAAAGGGAGATGTATTGAACTACTCCAAGACGCTCCTTGGTGAAGAAGGTTGTAGTGCCACCGATGTCAATTTCTCTGCGAGCCAGCATTCCGATCATACCGTTCCAAGAACCATTTCTGTTCTGGTATCCCCAAGTGTCTGTTTCCTTGAACTCTATGCTGCACAATGTGAAAATGTATATCTTGTTTCATAGAGAAAATAAGTGCTGGTGAGAGGTTATGTAGTTTGGAACAAATCTTTCAGAGGTATGTTACTTATGTGGATTATTTGGCGAAGGCATCAATAATTTTAACGCAGTTTATGATCCTTGGGTACCTACGTTGCGTTCATTGCACCGATCATGTGCATAACTAGTGGATAATTTGCTTTTGTAATTGTGTCGATATGCTTGTCGTGGTAGTCCGTCAGGTGATGTATGGTGTCTGGATTTGTGATCTGTAAAATGAATACGGATTCTTTCGTGCTCATTTTATCCACTCAAATTATGCTCGACTAACAGGAATTACATGTTAGAAGTTTAAATCATAATAAAGTTAAGATGCTGCACATGTTTTGAAAATCTGGTAAATCTAACACCACACATTTTCGACAATTTAGTTAAACTGTTTTGTATATTTATATTCTATACATTATAATATCCTATATTTATATGCTCGAGAAGAAGTACAATATTCAATTTACTTTCGGTACACCGACGCAATTTTTCTCAACATATTTTGCATGACGATTCAAAATTATATTACATTCAATTAAAATTCTAGCACAATCACATAATTGTCATTTATATATTATATTGTACATTTAAATAACGAAAAGAATGTGTAGCATTCAGGTATTATTTATTTCATTCAATCTGGCATTTATAATTATTCCTTTCTTCATAATTGTTCAACTCAATATTATCGACTGAAAAAGGAAAACTATTTTTGTCGACAAAGTACATATTTCAGCAAATCGATGTGACCTTCTCATGCGATAATCTTTTCATACTCCAGATCGATATTTAGAATCGATTAAAAAAGCAATCCATCATTCGTTATTACTTGATCAGTGATAGCCTATCTCAATACAGACGGTTTAATCTTTATTTTATATACCTATTTGTGATACACTCCAGTATTTCTAGTTGTCATTTGAGAAGATTTCGTAAAAAATTATCTTTTGACAATTATTGTAACAAGCGTATATTAGAAATGAAGAGCATGAAGAGGACGTTTGCCTACTTCATTTTGCAATAATTCTATACGATAATGCATCCACCGGGAAAGTTGCAAACCATGTATGGTTAAAATCTAACATTTTTATAAATATTTATGCGCATGCCCAGAAAGACCTCGAGAATATCATCTGTCTCTCATAGTTTTAGGATCAAGAAAGTCGGTAGAGTTTCGAGCCAAATACATTTGACCGAGGAATTCGTCCTGTCGAATGATGAGCGATTTTATTTATTTTCATGCCCAAGTGAGATATTAGGTAATATAATAACGGTATTAAATATTTACCAGTGGTTACGGAAGTGACCTCATACATTTTTTATTTCAGAATATACCGAGTTTTACTTTATGCAAACCAACAAAGTCAGCCATGTTGAATCGTGACGTCAGGGAAGAGGAAATCGTGTGAAATTCCCGGTGAGTATTCCGTAAAAATGAATGACATTTACCACGAACTGCAACGGCCTAAAATTCATCGTTATTTGACAGACAAGTTTTCAGAAATTTCTTTAAAACGAAGCAGAGGGTAGAGTTAAAAAATTTCTCATTAGAAGCCTTGTAAAAACGAGTCGGCCATCTTGCATAGAGGCGTCAAAGACTCGAGAAAGGGTTGGATAATTTCGCGTTTTTCGAGGTTCTTGACATATATTACGGAAACCAAGTAGTTTACCATAAAAAATCCTAGAAAATTAGTAAATTACGTTTTCAATACGGAGGATGTCGCAGACGGACGATATATGTCATTCGCTACGTTATAGACGTCTTTTAGCACATAGTAAACACGTAAATATTTTAAGGAATAATGAATTAAAGATTTTAAGCTTCCGCGGTCAGAGTTGTTCCTCAAATTTTTTGAGGCTTTCGGGAGTGACCCGCGTCCATTGTCGCCAGAGGGCCGACGTTTCGCAAACGTTGCAGTTCGTTCCATCAGGGCAGACCCTGATGAAAAGTGTCCTCGTTCTTGGGGAGTCCCCTCTTATAGAGTCGAGGTGCGTCCTGATTGGTCGGTTCGGATTGCCTGGTGGAGGGGAGGCGCCCAATCCGGGGACGCCAGGTGGGGGGTCGACCAATCCGGGTTTGAGAAATTTGATTGACCAATTAAATTTTGAAAAAAGCCGGAAAAGAGTATTTTAAATGGGATTCACTTTATATCCTCTGTAGTGATTTATGTTATTGGGATTTTTTTGGATTTCTGTTGCTTCTCGATGTTTTCTGCGGAAGAAGTTGGAAACTTTGGCTATGATTGACGTGCTTTCGAATAGAATTTTGTGGCCAGTCTCCATACGGTGTTCTGATATTGCTGTATTATACCTATCCAATCCTGGAATCGCGTGAATGATAAAAGGCGATATTGATAAAAAAAAGTCCTACCACTAGGCAGGACTTCAAGAGTGTCCCACGAAGGTCCTTTCTTCGTCTCGAGGCGACGTGCGTCGAGGAGAGATTCACGCCATTTTCCCGAGTCCAGTTTCCGTAATTTTCGAAAATTATTTCCCCTCCTACGGTCAGCCGATATATAGAAATCAAATTTACGAATCCCTCTCGAGTGTTTTGACCGATGACCACTTCGCTGTCGGGCAAAATGTTGCAACCGGAAAATATCTTCCCGATTCTCTCGTTCCGTGATTTGTCGTCTTCGTCCTGAGAGAAAAATCTAGTTAAATTAATTATTTTATATCTAGTTTTCGTAGTTGAAAAAAGACTCGGACAATATTAAAATTAACTTTTTTTTTGTGAACTAGGAAATCTAGGAACGGTTACTATATTTGTTCACCTTTTGGGAGGAATAAAAAGAACTATTCCACGTTTATATTATACTTTTTCCTAGGACCAATAACAAAATTTTTTAATATTTATATGGCCAAATTTCACTTTATTATCGTTAATGTAACTGATATATTGTCTTATATTTTACGTGCCCAGGTATTATTATTAACCGTTGCGAATAACTCCGTTGATCGTTCAATCTTCTTCCAAAAATCATTTTTTGTAATTATTGACATTCATTGAATTTATTATGTTCGACCTGTTGACATTCTCGCATGTTTTAGCATCAGTCAGGAATAAAGGAGTATCTTATATGCAAACGAGCAATCCGAGTCATTTGCGAGAAAGCTTCGCCATCTATCGGTGCCGTCAAAACTAACTTGAAGAAAATTTTTGGTAACATTCCGGATAAATTGAAAATTGATTTAACCAAACCGCAATGTTAAACGGTTGTACCAGTAATATCGTTGCAGCTACTAAAAATAGAGTAAACAACATTTTGCAACGAGAGTTGAGATTATTTAAAAGGTAACCTCACTATTTGAAAACGGTAAATATTCTTACCGTTCCTACAAAATTCGTACAAAAGCCAGGAGGGTGCTCAGCTATTAAAAAATAGTTGCTGGTACTAATTGATGGTAAATCAAACTATAAATTGCGTTCCTTTAGGAAAAATGGGTTTAAGAGGATTAAGTTGTTTAGTTTACCAGCTCTTTTTTTCTCATTGCAAGATCGGAATTGTTCCTCGATGGTTTTATATCTTGAAGCCCCAGCCACTTCAACGGGGCGACGAACGCTCTCTTCTTGCTAGCCTGGATTAAATTAACGGGATTAGAATTGTATTTGCTGGTTTGTCACGTAAATCGATAAGATCTTTCCCTTTGTCGTGTATAAAATGTCCAGGGATTCACTCGAGGAAAGTCTTGAGATCGGCACTTGAGGAAATCTCGGTAAACACGAAGCAAGGGAATGCACGTTAAGAAACAGTGTAACGTGTTTTCCTCGTTTTAATGTTTATTCATTCCACATATTCAATGTTAGGTTAGCTTCTATTTTACATTAATTAAACTGCCGTTACAGTTATGTAACATGAATATCGTTTAACATTTCCCTAGCAGCCGAGAATAATTTATAAATATTTTTTTGTAATCTTTGCTAATTATCTTAGGCGCCAAAAAATTGTTTAAACGTCTTGTAGATTTCGTTCGAAGATATCTGAAATATTTGTTGAAGATCTCAATGACATATTTAGTTTCAATAATTTATAAACATATAGAAATTATATTTTTTAATTTATGAACGTATAATAAAAATATACTTTTTACTTCACGATTATTATCGGACACTTCATGGGATAAAATCATACCATTTTAGATATCTTCCAATGAAATCTACGAGACATCTTAAAAAATCTGTCGCTTGAGATGTTTAGCAAACATAACGAAAAAATATTTATATATTATTCTGTACTAGAACTTCGGAAACCGATCGCGAAAGTGCGATAACTCGATTTATCTTGAGACTCGCGTATCGAAATGAAAGGAATTGGAGAACCTCTCTCAGAGCGACGTCAGCACCTGGACAATTAAGGTCGAGGATGAACAACGCTTGGTGACGAATTTCATCGGAGATATTCTCGCCGATTCCCTCGAAGGAGAACCGAAAATTATGCGCGACGTGCCTTCTCGACATTCGCCTTGACAATTCCAAGGCCTCATCTGAAAGGTCGACAATGTTCAAACAATGTCCAAAATATGTAACGCCGATCGCCCTCTACCGTAGAAAAGGGTGGATTAAAAGTTCCAAAGTCATCTAAAGAGTCAATCGTTCATGAAACTTTTTTCCGAACCAGGTGTACCGAATCATTTCACACTTGACAACGTGAACGTGGAGACTGTAAGGAAAGTCCTGACACTTATGAAAGTTCATTTTTTATAACAATTTTTTTAAATATCTACGAAGAATTTTTAAAACATTTTTTATAAAAAATGAAATTTCATGAGGGTCAGGACTTTCCTTATAGCCATCATCATCACGTTGTTAATTACGATTCGGTACACCCTGTTTGTAGAAAAGGTTCATGAACGATTTACTTGACTTTCGGATGCCACTTTGACATCCCCTTAAGATGGTATGAAATGGTCATTTTATACACATGAAACGTCAAAATATTTCTAAAACTTGTCTCCAAACTAGATGCATCGAGTCATTTGAAACTTTAACACATGATTATGGGGTCCTTAGGAAGAACGTGGTTTTGATGAAATTTCATTAAAAAATATGTATTCTTGGTTCAACTCTGGGCTAAATAAGACACTTTTTTTTATCAAAAATGAAATTTCACGAGCACCACGTACTTTTTTAAGGCCTCCATAATCACATGCTGATGTTTCCATCGAAGCATCCAGTTTGGAGTTTTAAAAGTTTTATAAATATTTTGACATTTTATATATCTAGAATAACCCTGTCATATCACCTTAAGTGATTTGAAATAGGAATAAAGATGCACATGAACTTTTCGAAATTTCAAGTCATAAACCGTGTTCTTCGCATTTATATTTTATCTACGGAATGACGAGCCCAATATTATGACACGATATATGTTTATTTATTTCGCTAGGGTGCAAAGAATTCTACCTTTCAAGTTGAAGCACATTTCGCCGGAATTTCGGGAATTGTGAAAAAACAAAAGTCTAAAATGACGTCCCGGCAATTAGTGATCTTTTCTTTTGTTTTTTATCTTAGTCTTAAAAAATTATTTTACAAAGCACATTACATTTAATTTATGCCTGCGTTTATCCGGAACCGATTTCACGGCTCGGTCGATAAAGTAGAGCACCGCTCTCGTAATTCCAAGCCGGAAGTACTTTGCGTCGTCGCGGAAAAAAACTTGCCTTGGTCCACACATAGAAACGAGGTTACCTTCACGGGCGAAAATACCGACACGATGTCGACAGTGAAATCGAACAAATCCGTATTCTTCTCATGGGAAGCCGCGGGGAAGCTCGCGGTGGCGGTCAGAAAGAAAACCAACATGGCTGCCGGAAAGAAAAACATGGCGGCCGGCGCTTTCCCCCTCGCGATTTCGATTCGACTTTACTCGCGTTCTGGCTCACGTGGATGCGTTTATAGATGTGCATTCGCTTCCTTATGCTGGCAAAAGTGGCATTACACGATCAGTTATGCACTCGAAGACACGGAAGCCTGGAAAAAAGCGATTGGATAATGGCTACCTCTGCCACTTTTACAGCATACTTACGGGTTAAAGGCAGGCATTACTGGATTACTGCGGCTGATATTCTGATGTAAAACTGCTGCAGGGTGGATGTCGAGATATGGGACGTGATGTGAATCGCCAGGTGCTTCGCGAACCGAGATTCCCAAGAAAGCGAATCTTCTTCTTTGGCATTTCGTTCCAATTGGTATTCTTTAGTGTTTATGTCTTCTTTTATTAAACATTAGCGCTATCTTAATGCGTTACGCTTTTTTTTGTACGAGAATTTCGAAAACTTCGTTTAACACCTTTTTCCTGTTAGTCCTCGAATCGTTCTCTTGTGTTTTAAGGTGATGTGAAAGGGTTATTCTATCAGGAGA